ACAGTGTGTCCCCATGTGCTGCCACACCACAGGTCTAACAGAAATGGGACTAACAACCATGGACTGAAAACTCTAAGATTCTAAGCCAAAATGATCCCATTTTTTTTTTACTAGCTGATTACACTAAGGATTGGTTACAATAAAATGGAAAGCTAACACACTTGTACTGACATGGTGATATTTGTTGTATTCTTCTGCCTGTTGATGTGATACATTAACTGATTTTTATTTCTTAATATTTATTGTTATAATTGTGAGTGTTCTGACTGCATGTATGTCTGCACACCACTTGTGTTTAATATCCACCAAGGCCAAGAGAGTGTTGGATCCCCTAGGACTGAAGTAACAGATGGTTTTCAGCTGCCATGTGGGTGCTGAAAGTCCAACCTGGGTCCTCTGGAAGAGCAACCAGTGCTCTTAACCACTGAGCCATCTCTCCAGCCCCTTAACTGTTTTTGTTTTGTTTTAGCACCCTTGCAAACCTGGGAAAGGTTCCCCTTGATAGGTGTATAATTCTTTTATAAAGTATTATATTTGAATTGCAACATTTTATTGATGATTTTTTGTATCTATACCTTTAAGTTTTATTAATATCTTCTTCCGGATTTAGCATCAGTGAAATGGTAGTTTTACAGAATAAGTTAGAAAGTATTCTTGTGCTCCTATATGCTGGAATAAATAATAAAAATGTCATGCAATGTCTTTCTTTAATGTTTAGTGGAAATTATTAGTAAATTCATCTAGTCCGGGTGTTTTCTGTTTTGGGAGGAAAATGATTATAGATTTAAAATGCTTAGCAGACATAGGACTTTTCAGATAATCTGTTTCTTCTGGCGGGAACTTTGGCAGATTGCGTCTTTGGTGGCATTGCCTTGTTTCATGTAGGCTTTCAAGTTTGTAGGCATAAAGTTGTCCATAATATCCATACTATATCCATATTACTTTGTAGTCAGAGGCTACTTGTTCGTTTTCTGGCTGCCTAGACCTAAAATAATCCCTCAAAAACTATATTAATTGCAATACTGTTTGGTCAATAGCTTAAGCATATTGCTAGCTAGCTCTTATATCCTAAACCAACCCAGCTCCATTAATCTGTACATCACCATGAGGTCGTGGCCTACTGGCAAAGTTTTGGTGGGCTCTGGCAGAGATATCTGTCTCCTGTGATGGCTACATGGCTTCTCACTGACTGTGTCTTCTTTCCTCCTCTGTCTGCTTGGAATTTTTGCCTTGCTTTATTCTGCTAAGCCACTGGTCAAAACAGATTTTTTTTAAAAGATTTATTTATTATGTATACAGTATTCTCAATATTCTCTCTGCATGTATGCCTGCAGGCCAGAAGAGGGCACCAGATCTCATTACAGATGGTTGTGAACCACCTTGTGGTTGCTGGGAATTGAACTCAGGACCTTTGGAAGAGCAGGCAGTGCTCTTAACCTCTGAGCTGTCTCTCCAGCCCAACAGATTTATTCTTTAACCAATAAAAGCAACACATATACAGAAGGACCTCCCACACCATTACTTTATTATTTTCTCACTGTCTGAAGGATGTGTAATGTAAACTCCACTTAGATATTTTATCATTTTTTGTTCTGTCTGTCAAAAGTTTGTCAGTTTAAGAAGTGTATATTTATTTTCTATTGGGGCAAAATTTTGTAATGTAAAATTTACTATCTTAATAATTTTTGTTTATTTGTCTAGTGGTGCTAGGAAATGAACCCAGGACCTCTCACATGTCAGGCAAATGCTCTACCACTAAGCCATGTTCCCACAGCTCCAATCTTTATTTTCTTTTTTAATAGTCAATATTTTTTATTCTGAAATTTCACAGTGGTGTAATTTAGTATGGGTCCTCAGATTTTGGTAATTCACCCTTTCTTTTCTCTTTTACTTTTTTGTGTGTAAGAGTATTATATCTGTGTTGTATATGTGCAGTGCCTGTGGGGGCAGTAGATCACCTAGAACTGGAATTAGAGAGCTGTGAGTCACCATATGGGTGCTGGGGATAGAACCCAGAGACTCTGGAAGAGCAGCCAGTGTTTTTAACTGCTGAGCCATCTTTCCACCTCCCTTTCTTAAGTGTTTTCATTCAAGATATTTTGATAATGTTTTTCTCTCCAATTTCTTCCAGATTCTCCCACCTTCCTACTCTACCTATCCAACTTTATGACCCCCCAAACAAACAAAAAACACATCAAAAAAAAATCCCAGATAACTTAGACAACAATGAGGACACTAATTACATAGATCTAATCTACTTGGGAAGTAGAAAGTAGAAAAAGACAAGATCTCCTGAGTAAATTGAGAGCATGGGGACTTGGGAGTAGATTGAAGGTGGGAGGAGACAGGCAGGGAAGGGAGCAGAGAAAAATGTAGAGCTCAATAAAAATCAATAAAAAAAAATAAAGAAACTTGAGATACTGAGAGAAGATTGCCTCTGAGCTTGTCTCCTGGCTGAGTGAAGGAGTTTTATCAATGTTGTGTTTGCTTGTCTTTGAATCTTCACTTGCTGTGCTAAGAGTCTATCTTTTAGACTCAAGTATTAACCACCCTAGGCTATATTATAGTTCCATTTATTTTGTCTTAGTATTGTTTTTCAGAATAAATATATTCATTTGCATTTTTAAAAACACACCAAAAAGTCCCACAAAAAATAAAATCAAAATAAGCAACAGATCAATAAGACAAGAAAAAAAAATTACCCAAATAAAGCAAAATGAAACAAAATCTTTTTTAAAATGTATTACAGGCCGGAGAGATGGCTCAGCCATTAAAGGCTAGGCTCATAACCAAAAATAAAATACATTAAATTTGTTTCTATGGAAGTGGCACATGGGCCATGTCACATATGCAGAGGCCAAAGGACAACTTGTGAGTGTTGCTTCTATACTTCCACCTTGTGGGTCCCTGGGGTCAAATCCAGGTCAGGCTTGGCAGTGAGTGCCTTTACACACTGAGCTTTCACACTGTCCCCCAAATCTGATTTTATTTTGGAGAGGAAAGGAAGATTGAGACAGGATATGTAGCTCAGGCTAGCTTAGAACTCACTATGTAGCCCAGGTTGTCCTCAAACTCATGCCAATCCTCCTGTCTCAAACTCCCATGTGCTAGAACTATAAACATGAGTCACCAAACCCAGATTCTTAACCTTTTTAAAGTCACATAATTTTTAAGTTCATAACATTCCACAACCAGACACCTCTTTGTCTCTTTTTGTTTTGTAAACATGAAACTCTATGCCCATTAGGTAGTAATTCTTATTTTCCTCTCTCCTTTGGCTCTGAGAACCAGGATTGTACTTTGTTTCTTGGTATAGGGAGCTGCTTGTTTCTTTCCCGGCCACCCAACACTCAGACCCAAAATAACCACACTGTATTATTCAAACACTGTTTAATCTATTAGCTCTAGCTTCTTATTGGCTAGCTCTTACATATTAATTTAAGCCATCTCCATTTATCTGTATATCGCCATGAGGCTGTGGCTTACTGGGTAAAGCTCCAGAGTCTGTCTCCGGAGAGGCTACATAGCTTCTCTCTAACTCTGCCTTATTTCTCCCAGCATTCAGTTTAGTTTTCCCCACCTAGCTCTGCTCTACCCTATTACAGGTCCAAAACAGCTTTTTTTATTAACCAATGATATTCACAGCACACAGAGGGGAATTCCACATCACCTCCCCTTTTCTGTCTAAATAAAAAGGAAGGTTTTAACTTTAACATAGTAAAATTGTATATAATAAAACAAGTATCAAGTAAGAATTATAATTAGAATACTTATATCTATTTCATCTTTTTATCATGACTAAGGAAAACTATTCTTATTCTTCAACTCCATCAAAGACTCCAGAAAGATATGATATTACCTAAATAAACAGAAAGTACATTGTAAGCAACTTCCAACCCTCTAGAATTGACAGAGACCTTGCTGCCTAGACAGTCACCCAAAGTTCTTCTGTACCATTGGGGCATCCATCTTCAGCCTACAGGCCCGTAGTGTTCAGCAGACTTTTCCATGAAGCAGGAAATTTCAAAGACAGTTCCACCTATATTGGCAGTTTGTCAGTCACATTTTCCTGCGTCATGCAGAATGTCTGGCAGGCTTTTTCATGAAACAGGAACCATAAAAGACCATCTCACCTTTAGGCAAGTTCAGCAGTCATCTCTCTGTGGGTTCTTCATGTCTAGTTCATACAGTATAACATCAAGCAGTCTAGACAAGATCAGTTTCTTGCCCAAATGGCAAACCAACGCCATAAGGAGCCTCTTTGATGCCCATCATACTCTTAAAGTAGATTGGTGCTGCCAGGAGCAAATGTGTCTCATTGTCATGAAAATTCCTAAGTTCGTAAACATTTTAAATGCCATATTCTGTAGTCTTTTAAAGGTTTGAAGAATG